CAGGTAACCGTTTTCTTGGTTCATAGCGGTGCTCAATAATGATAAATCCAAGCATTTTGAGTGTCTGACTCACCAGGCTACCTGGCAAGGCTATTAAGGCAAGGTAAGGCTGCCATATAGAGCCTTGGGACAGACCTGACGCAGCTTAAACAGAAGTGTTTGATGGCGAACTTCTTGTTTCGCATTTTAATCTCTAAGTTTGGTGGGCGTGATTCAAATTTATGTTCGGGGGGCGAGTCGGATGACTCTGTCTGCCAGCAGACCATGCAAAAGGTGCTGAATTTTTATTTTTGGAGGAACAGGAAGAAGCCGGTAAGTCTCCTGTGGACCAAGCAATTGCTTACCTTGCCTGCTTTCAACGCATGATTGATAACCAAACTTAGCCATTTTCTGTTTTAATGCATCGATTTTTGCCATAAGACAACTTATGTTGCCACAAGCTTATTTTGTTCCATATTCTTGGTTATTTGCCCTAAATTTCTTAAAGTGTTCTCTCGTGGCTGCTTTAATCAGATGTTTTCTATAGTTGTCATGGTTTGCTGACCAGAATATGACTGAACTGTATATATGCACTATCTTTTTAACACAGGGATACTCTAAGCTGCATATAAATTATAGCATGAGTTAAATATTGATATGTAGCAAATAGGCAGACCACCCCATTTAAAATGTAAAGCCAATATTTCAAACTTTGTCATGAAATATGAATAAACAAGCCCAAATGGATGCATTTGCTGCAGCTGAAAAGGCAAGCAGCAATAATGGCATGGTCATCTAAAAGTTATGTTATTTTTGGAGAAGAGAGATTGTAATGTGGAGCATGCCCATTATTGCTTTTGACATAGGTTAACCATGACAATCAAAATAAGTTGTTCAAAGCGATTTAAAGTGTTTTGATTTGTGTGTTGTCAACTTTGTCTGATGTCAACAAGCATACACAAATGAACTGAATAAAAATGCAAGTTGAAACCAGCCAAAAACTAGCCTTCATATCATGTTCTTATCACAAGTGCTGCTGTCAACAGATAGGTGGGTTAAGATGATGCTGATCATATGGGCTATCCTAAGTTGGGTTAAGTTGTTCAAGTGGATGGCAAGTGGCAATAAGAATTGTGCAAAAATCAGCAACTCACAACTGCTGCTGTGATACAAACAGGTTATACAGGATGAGATGATGTAAGGCCTCTTTAGGTTAGGCATAGGCTACCATCATGGAAATGAGCATTGGTATTCCGAAAGAAACAGTGACAAATGTTTGTTTTCTCTGAACCCATCTTAACAGAAGCCAGTCTATTGTGTTTGGCTTGGTGATGGGCTGATGTGTAGGAGTCCAATGTTTTTTTTAGTGTTTTATGCTTGTTGAACCTCTGTTGTTATTTTGTTATTGAATTTCTTTGCTTTGTTTTGTTTTAAAAGTGCTGTGGAAGGGAATTGAAAAGTGCAGCATCAAATTATTGGTGTTAATAATTCGTTATGCTCGTACTACTATCTTGAAATTACTATGTTTTAACGCGCGCCCGGTTGGCCGGCTAGATATCCTCCGCTCGGGTGGGGGGGGGGGGGGCAATTTGCTCCCCCCCCACCTGAGATCCCGGGAACTAAGAAAGCTAGATACACCAGGGTGTCTTTAACTACACGTGAACTCACTTAGGTTAGGGTTTCAGCTTCCTAGGTTATAACCTTCGAGTCGAACAAGGTGAAACAAGGTCAAATTACAGGTGGGTCTCCAAAGCGCCCCCAGAACCTAGGCAACTGTTTCTAAGCAAAAGGTCAAAAGCCCATTTGAGGTCATTGACCTTGTTTGACCCTTTGAAGGTCATGGTGACCAAAATGATACAAGACTGCATGCTCTGCGTTTTGCATTTGAATAAGCGACCAAGATTGCACTAGGCAGTATGATCCTAAGACAAAACGTTCGACCCGCATCATCTTAGGTCAATGGCCTGTTCTGACCTCTAAAAAGTCAATTGAAGATGCATAATGCGGTTCCTGCTGTCAAAAAATTCGAAATGAGCACCAGAAAGTATTCTATACAGGCAAACCCTACAGTGATAATCAGGTTGGTTTTGACCTTGGTCTGACCATCATACCTGACCTTAGGTCAACGTAATTTGCTCATTCAATAATTGTGGTGCCTAGGAAAGCATCTCAGAGATGTATGTCTTCGTCAAACGCTCCGTTGTTGTGTCAGATTGAACGATTCCCTAGAAATTGCCTTCGCCGAAACCATGGGCTGACTTTGACCTGTCATAGGTCAGCGACCTTACAAGGTAGGTCTAAAATTGGTATGTCAAACGATCCGCTATGCAATTTGCTACAGCTATGCAAAATTTGGCGCAACTACGCCGCGCCGTTCAGAAACCATTCGGGAAATGTCCTCGGGGGAGGGTCAATTTGCCCCCTACCCCCAACCGAGCGCGCGTTAATGTATTCTGTTTCACTTTAATGGCCTAAGATGTTAATAAACGGAATCGTTTTGTCAGGTTCCTCACACTACGTCCATGCCAACTTGAAATAGATGTCTTTGTTTGCTGAAGCATCAGTCACGAGCTCATGAGCTCCATCTTTTATGAATTGATTTTTTCACTCCCGCACGGTCTTTTTGCGATGGAATTTTTCACTCCCACCGTAGTTCAAAAGCGATTCTGGCTCACTGATGGGGGCCAAATTACCTGGGCCTTGCTTGTCACATCAGAACCAGGAGGGAAGCACTTGGCGTACTTCACGTTCCTGCCGAATCGTGCAATCAAACAGTTCGCCCAAATGCTGCACACAATGTTAATGCGGTTGCGAGGTCACAGCTCTGAGCTTCCATGCTCAGAATTGGTCAATAATGCCAACCTTGGTTTGTTTGAGGATGTTTCGCCACCCTCAGGCATAGTCGGGGTAATTTTTTTATATCCCATCTGTACTCCAGCAAAGTGAGCCTCTATGAGCTTGATGAGAATCTGGACGATGTGTACAGCAACCAACTCACGGTCCTCCGTTGCCTCTGTCCAAAACTGTACCTGACATCGCGGAGGTACTGAACAGGCGAGACGTCATGAAGAAGTAAGACAATTATATCATCCAAGATGGTTTAGTGCCTGCGCTATGTAAGGCATAAGTGCTCAATTGAATTAAAATGACCTTGCAAACACTATAAATGTTTAAGGAGTATTTTAAGATGTATTTTGAGCGAATTCTTGCTTACAAGTTTACCCACAGCGTTAAAATGACAAAATATGGAGGACACCAGGGTCACACCGAGCTTGTTTCGTGTCCATCCTATATTTTTACCTCCTGACGCTGTGAGCAAGGTGACCGAAAATTCAGCTCAACGTGCATCTTAATATCTACTAAAACCATGTAGAAGCTGTATGGTTGTTTTAATTTGATTGGAAACTCCAAGTTATTCAGCTTTGAAGGGGAAGCCAATAAAATTATGGGACAAATGACGTATTCTAACAGCATTTCATCAAACACTTGACCACACAGCTCTGTGCATGAGCAGCCAGCCGTATCACTCGTCAGGCGTCATCGGCTGATGAGCAGCCGTACCGCTAGGCAAAAGACGGCGTCGCCTGATGAGCGGCCGTACCACTAGGCAGAAGATGGCGTCGGCTGATGAGCAGCCGTGCCACTATGCAGAAGATGGCGTCGGCTGATGAGCAGCCGTGCCACTAGGCAGAAGATGGCGTCGGCTGATGAGCGGCCGTACCACTATGCAGAAGATGGCGTCGGCTGATAAGCAGCCGCACCACTAGGCAGAAGATGGCGTCGGCTGATGAGCAACCGTACCACTAGTCATGCGTCGTCGGGTGATAAACAGCCGTACCACTAGACGGAGGATGACGTCGGCTGATGAGGAGCCGTACCACTAGGCAGAAGATGGCGCCGGCTGATGAGCAGCCGCACCACTAGGCGGAAGATGGCGTCGGCTGGTAAGCAGCCGCACCACTAGGCAGAAGATGGCGTCGGCTGATGAGCAGCCGTACCACTAGGCAGAAGATGGCGTCGGCTGATAAGCAGCCGTACGACTAGGCAGAAATGGCGTCGGCTGATGAGCAGCCGTAGTGGTCATAAGATGGTGTCGAGTGATGAGCAGCCGTACCACGTGTCAGGCGGCGTCAGCTGATGAACGTGCTCGCCCTCGCTGGCTTCTGATGACGTCATCGCCGGGGTCAGCATACATGCAAAATAGCGCACTAGATATCTACGACTACGCAGAGTAGAGCCGCGCCTCCATGTACTGATGAAGTCGGGCAAGGGTGCTGGAAGGTAGGAGATGCTGTGGTGGCCGCAGATTACGGCTATACTCTCTTAATTAGAAACCTTTGAGTTCCGTTATTGCATCTTGGAACGATGTCAGAGGATGTTTATGTTCACCATCATGCCGTCAAACTTCCTCGCGCCCAAAAGTTGCGGCGCATAATCTGTTTACGCACAGCTTTAGCCCGCACGTAGGCTCATAGACGTGAGTTGCTCCGTCGGCATAATGAGCCGGGAGGCGAGAACGGCATAGTCACTTGCGTCCAAGCCCGATCGCTAGAGGCGTGTTTGTTGTGAACATTGTTACAAATTCGGAGGGTCAGTAATGGTATTATGATATCGCGCTCTTGCCATGCTACGCGATATTTGATCGCTCGTAAGCCTTTGTGATAACTGATGGTTTGTAAGCCTGGCTCTCGTAACACGTACACCATCGTTACATCCCTACCACAACACACATATACACTGATGCTGTCGGCTCTAAGCCTAGCGCTGATAACACGTACACCATTGTTACACCCCTACCACAAGACACATGCACACGTCGGCTATCGGAGACAAATGGTTGCTTACTGGCCTCAGGCATCGCCTAGTTGTAATAAAATGTCTGTAAACAATGCTCATGCACGCTCGATGCGTGCGTTCCTAGAAATGTGATTCGCTGCATTCGCCCAAGTAAATACGCCGCCTAAATGCGGAATGCGATGTCGCGGCCGCGGCACCCACCGCCGGCCCCCGCCGTCACTCACCTATATCCATATACTGTCGGTAGGTGCGGTCGTAGGGCGCCCAGGCGCCAGGCCCGATAGCGGCTGCGCTCCTTCTCCGGCAGGTGAGGTGGCGGCTGCGGCGCCGGCCGGTTCGGGTCCCTGTCGGCAGCGGGCGCCGCTCGCTCAGCGGCCGGCCCGCGGCGCCGCTCGCTCAGCGGCCGGCCCGGGGCGCCACTCGCTCAGCGGCCGGCCCGCGGCGCCACTCGCTCAGCGGCCGGCCCGCGGCGCCGCTCGCTCAGCGGCCGGCCCGCGGCGCCGCTCGCTCAGCGGCCGGACCGGGGCGCCGCTCGCTCAGCGGCCGGCCCGGGGCGCCACTCGCTCAGCGGCCGGCCCGCGGCGCCAGTCGCTCAGCGGCCGGTCCGCGGCGCCGCGGGCGCCCGCAGACGGCGCAATCTCCATACGGCAGCGGCGGCCGATCTGCTTTTGCCCGGACCGAGATTGAACGAGCCGGCAGGAGCGTCGCAACGCCGTCCTGGACATGTTTACGGGCCGGGCCGTCAATAGGCCGATGCAGGCGCGGTCTTGCGCGTGGCGCGCCGCGGGCAGTGCCGCCAACGCCAGCTGCTCTTCAGTCGAGAGCTATTATTGCGTGCTCGCTAGGGGCTGCGATTAAGTTTGTGCGAGGACTTTTTCTCAACCAGAGTGGTGGCTTGTTTAAATAGAAGCTCGGAGTCGAGAATGGCAACTTTTGGCAGGATTAGATGAGGGAGAAAAGCTGTGATGGAAGGTGTAATCCGGTTTATATTTTCAAAACGTAGAACATTTGTTGAAGGGAGTGTTTCACATTTGCGTGGGGCTTCGGACTGAAACAGACATTTTGAAGATCATTCGGTGCAGTTCATGGCCCTGTCCATCTTAAGACCCGAACCCCGCCAGTTTCTGAGCTACACACCTGCGAAGATGTGTCGACTATTTCGTGCAGACTATTTGAAATCCATTCAGGCACGCATGACGCCGTAGCAGCGTCTTTCAAATCCTGCCATCCCATAGGTTATACCACCTTCAAGTTCAGGAAGAATATATCGTCGATCCTTTGAGATCTGGCGCCCGCGGGCATGAGTTCTAAATATGGCTGACGTCGATTGGCTATCAATCACTGCTGAGCAGGCTGTGCAAGTTCCAATCACGAATCACGTTTTGTGCTGTATGACATAATATGTGGGGCAATTGCTAGTTATTATGGAAGTAAAATGTGTAAAATAATAAGTTATGAAAAGTGCAATAACTAAACATGTGAATACAAGTTAACTTCTTTTTAAAATCGCAGATAAATATGCGAGAACATCACGAAAAAGAACCAAACCACGAGTACATAACGATCTTTGGCCGCAGAATACTTCCAGCACCACCAATTGCATCACTGGGCGAGTTTGAAGCACTAGTGAGTGCTAGAGATGCGTGTTTGCACGCCAGTTTTGCAGCACCCAACGGCATACAAACGTTCCATGACGCAATTAAAGAATGACGTGTGGAGTAGCGTATTTACACAATAATGAAGTTGTGTTGTGTAAAGCAGTCTTTTCCGCCTCAACGGAATGTTCCACGGTTGGAGATATTAAAGCAAGTGTGAGATATGACGAAAAAATCACTTATCACCATTGGTATAGCTTTAAGAGAAAAGACAGCTCCAGACAGCACGATTTCTCGATTTAGTAAATCATTTTTTTAAATACTTCAATACTGTTTGTGCCATCGTAAATTGCATGGCATTGACTAATAGGCAGATAACTACCGTTTTATCCGAAAACCGTGCTAACGAACGTCAGATATGAACAACTCGACAATCATTTTTGCTTAGACTTGGTCGCCGCACGGCCAGTTGAATGGCAGGATTTTAATAACGTTATTATGACGTCACGGATGCCTGGGTGGTCTCGAAATAGTCAGCACGAAATCATTTGCACATCTTGGCGGGAATTTAGCTCAGGAACTAGAAGCGCTTAGGTCTTAAGAACGGCAGGGCTGTGAACTCCACCGAATGATCTTCAAGGCGGTTATTTCAGTTCAAAACCACATACAAGTGTGGAAAACTCTCTATAAAAGTATACCTAAACATGTAAATGGGCTTATTTTATCATATGTCAAGTTTACTGCAATATTTTCCAACGTGGGACACCCCCTCTAAGGCATGCACTGGTCAACACCAAGGAATTATTTGAATGCATCTGGTGTCGGGATGAGTATGCTCGTAGCACATACATGCAGTTGGTTCGCGGGTTCAGAAGCATCTTTATTCATCAATCAAATATGTACCGTATAACGCCCAGAAAAAAGCAGAACATTAAGGTCCTGGGTGGTTCCGGTGAAGTCGATGAAATTAATTTGGTGTCGGTCGTCATTGGCCAGATTGGTGCCCTTAGATTCCCTGGCCACTGCCCCAGCCATTATAATGGCAAATACTACGGCAAAAACCTTACATAAAAACCGAATAGTGATCTACACGTGACATGTAGCAACTATAAAAAAATACGCGTGAGCCACGTTATCGCCACGCTTTGCACTGCTCCGTTCATCTCTTTTCGACTGCCTGCGTCCTTTTGTTAGGTTTGAACATCGTTGTACATTATGCTTTACAGAGCCTGTGGGACACTGGGTAGTTGCATGACCGCACAGCACATTCTTTACACGATGGCTGAAAAGAAAAATGAGGCCTATTATGCAAGAACAAAACACAAAGTCCATCATAACTCTACCTCTGCCTTTCATACAGAACAAAGTGCAAGTAGCGCTTAAAACAGAATCGTCGCGGTCATTACCCTCTACGAGAGAATCAAACAATAGAATATGACTGAGAGCGCCAACAGCTCTGTGGAAAGAGAAGAGCACACGGTTTTAGCACCAATTGGTGACATCACACGCATACACATCGCAGCATCATAGTGACAGAGTTATAACTAAACTGCTAATTAGAATAGTTGTCGACAGCCTTCCTTTCCAACAACGGGCTGCACACGTCATGGTATAACAACAACAACAGAAGCGAGGATGAAACATTCCAGATCACCTGCCTAGCAGCGACGTCGTCAAAACATGTCCAAACAGGGAAGTTTCTGGCCAGATTGGCAGGATTAATGAACTTCACAGCGGAAGACACGTCAAAGGCAAGGAGAACAACAGCAGCGGGAGCAGCCTCATCACAAATAGGATCTGTGCAGGCCTGAAAGGACGTGCGCGGAACACATTTCGTCCAAATGTCTCGCCTCCTCACCCGGTTCATTCAAAATGTTTCCACCCCCGTGAAGGTCTCGAGCTGAAACCCATTGATGACAAACATCAGAGATTTTCACCGGCAGAATTCTGCAGCGATTTTAGCCCCGATCACAGCCCTGTCCGTGCCACCACATCGCAAACATTTCGCGACAGCGGTGCCGGTGGCAGCTCCCCGCAAACCGACGGACGTCGTGGATTAGAGCGGCGGCAACTTCCCAGCGCTGCGACGAGCCAACAGCGGCGCTGCGTAAGTGGCAAGTTCGCGGCAGCCAGCCGGCGTAATATGGCCGCAGCGGCAGGGTGAGGCAGCTTGTTAAGGCTGAGCACCGTGGTTACTCCTCGTTCGGCTGTCTGTGGCGGGAGCTGCCGCCAAGTGCCGAGTCGGCTGACGCAGGATTGGTCGAAAACGACGAACAGGCAAATGAGGACTGATGCTCTGAAGGAAATTAACAGGCTCATTGGAGGCAATTTAGATCTAACAACGGCTAATTGGGGATTTTCCTCGGCTTCGTTACATCTGGTTGGCTTTAAAACGCACTATGCTGCGTGTAGTTTGGTGAATACGCAGTTAAGCGATGAAAAGACAAACTGATTCTGTTTGGCAAAGGACGTTTTACAACTTCACCGTAGTTTTTTCTTTTGCCGCAAGATGACAGTGTAGCGTGTCCTGTGCGCTGGGCGTGTGTACAGATACCGATTGTGTTCAATTCATGCCTCTGATGTATGCGTGTTTGAATAAAAACATTCGCTTTCAATAGAAATGTTCGACTCATTAACGTCTTTACGCATCAAAACCAAGCTGAAATGACTGTAAGACAAACACGCCACAATGCGCCTGTTATCAATCTAGTGCTTTCACACGAAAAGTTTAGGAACAACGTGGGATAAATTTTTGTTCAAGGAACCTAGCTGCATATATGAGACAAGACGCTGGCGAATCCTCGACATTCAAAGCCTGCCTCGTCGGAGAAGCAAAGAGAGAGAACCTCGGTCCACCCTTAATTTCACTCCAGACTGGCGTGGCCTTCATCGCACCGCGGCAAAGCAATGCGGCACAGACTGTTTCCGTCTTGGTCGATAGCGATGGGCAAGTGGTACCGCACTGTTTTATGCTGACGCTGAAAAGGTCAGCGTCAGCATAAGGGCGGCGGGAAAGGCGCCAGGAAAAGCGTCAGCATCAGGAAAAGGCGAAGGGGCTGGACGATCACGCCGAAATCAATCAAACGGCTTAACGACATTCAGTTGGCTGTCATTGCATGGTTCGGTGTTGCATATCACACAGCCATATCCACCCGTTTAAAAATGAAGGCCACAAAAACCACGATCTTATGTAAAATTGGGATAGTTCTGATAAAAGCCTTTTTACCACACGACCTAAAAATGTTGGGAAGTGCAGTTTCGCTGTATGAAAGTCACCGTCGGTAGGTCGCGATACCGGACCGGAAGCCGCGCCTGACTGGCCGGCTGCTGCCGGCGCACCACTTGTTATTCGCCGCCGGCGCCATCCCCCGGCCGGCCGGCCGACCCGCCGGCGATCCGTCGGGAAATCTCGAATAGCAGCTGTCGATAGGGCACGAAACATACCGCCGGTGCCCCACCGAGAGTCCACGCGCCAACACAATCGGGCTACGCCAGGTACGCCGCGCCGCGCCGACATCGCCGCGTATGCAGATGGCCGCGCGGCGCCGACGGCGCGACGCGCTCGATGATGGTGCCTTTTAGAGCGGCGGTCGCGATTAATGGCGGCCGGCCGGGCGGAATCGGCGCCGTTGCTGAATCGCCGGGAAAACAGGCGACCGGCCTGTAATGAATTCCCGGTAATTTATCGCCTGGTGAGCCGATCGCCCGGTTTCTTCAGCCACTGCAGAAATGAAATCTGTTGTCAGCGCGCGGCCGCCGTCGCTCGGGCGCGGCTGCGTCGTTGCTCAGGCGCGGCACCGTCGTCGCCCCGTTCTCGTGTGACGCGGGACGCCCAACAAAAAGGGGCGCGGACGACACGCCCCACGTATTGGGCCCATGCATGCATTTGGCAGAGCCGCCATTTGTCTTGGCATTCAACGGGCCTCGAGTTTTTGCGACAGCTGGAATAAGTTTTGCGCTGATCGGTACAGCGGGCGGCGCGGTGGAAATAGACGCTAGCCGACAGTAAGGCTGGCTGTGTGATTGTCACGGCGAACGTGGCTTCCAACCATATAGAATTTATGACAATGCAATTGTTGTCGGACATGTGCAGCTGAATTGTGTTACTACCGTTGCTGCTATGTTTACCACATCAATAAAATAGCCATGCAGCGGGTCCAAACTTGACTGCAATACCACGGTTTAATGTAAACATAATCAACAGGTCTTGAGCTCATTACTTATCGGCAATAATCTCCAAAGCTACACAGGGAAAACTGAAAGCAAGAACATAATCAAAAGAAGTAAGCATCCTCAGAGTGTTAACACGTCACTAACGTGCAAAGGGTTGCTTACGTGGTATGCGAGATAGCACACGTGCGAAACATGAAAATGGTATTCCATATCAATACTTTGTACAAGCTCAGTTCCGAAAAATTGTCAGCCGCGCAGTGTAATGATAGCGCACCGGACAATAGGTCACGTGGGTCATTCGCCTCAGCAGCGGCCGTCTGTCAGAACGGGAGCTGCGCGAAGCGGACACCTAACATTTCCGCAGTGTCAAGCAAGGGTTTCCGAAGTTCTCGTGCTATGGAGGCCACGATTACCGATCCACTGACCCGGTCTTGGCGAAGTTGGTCCAGAAGGTCATGACCATCTCGCTGATGGTGATGTCCTCGGGCCTGAACTGCGAGGCGCCCGTCGTCTCCTGGACCAGAGGACGGCCGAACACGTACGGTATCTCCGAGCCGTGTACACTGCCCGCCTGCTGCCGGGTGGAGGGGCCGCTGTCAGCACGGTCAGGCCGTGAGCGGGCGGCACGCCGGGCAGCAATGTCATTGAGCTAGTCAGATGGACATGAGCAACAGACTACGCACGGCCTAACACTTCCACATCAGCTGCAAGGTAGGTACAGATTGCGTGCTGCTTTGCACAATTTTTTTTCGCTTGGAAACCGATTGCAGAATGAGCACTGCACAGCATGACTGCATCAGTCGAAGTTAATTACACTCCATGCAAAACAGTGCTGCAGGGCGATTTCAGTTGGAAAGTGGACTTAAGATGTTCTCAGCGGATCGTTAGCATGGTCAAAACAGTCGAGAACATTGTCCAAATGTGCAGAGCAAGGCGCAAGAGCCGCAGTGATTTGCAAGCTGCAGCGTCGAGCTGGGCAGAGCTTCACGTTACAACGGTACGATCAGAACGCTGAGATCAGACCTCAGAACGCTGAGCGTTTCGACGATAACAGCGCAAATAATTGTTTCACACATGACACACATGTCTCCCACAGTGCAGTCTGCGGCACATGGGTACAGCTTTCATCATGGTTATCACAGTCGTTGCGTGTAGCTATGGAAATAATGCAACAAAAATTATATATATATATATATATATTCATATATAGATATATACGGGGAACTCTTGACAAGACAAGCGTTTTCAATTCGCACATTGGGAAAATCCACTTATATAACCTGTTCCTATAACTCTTATAGCACCTGTCTAAAGGTGCATGTACTATGAACTACTATAACCATCCTATAAAATAATTATACTGATACATACTAATTGATCTCTGTCAATCTATCGTTCTGTTTGCATTCATACACATGTCTAACCATTTAAGGTGTTTTTCTATGGCTACTGCGAAATGAGAGTGAAGAACAAGAACCAAATTACATTTTCCAGGACAGCATTTCGGGTAAATATCACGGATGTCGTGCAATCAGACAACGAATTAATTTCAAAATTTCGCCAAGAAGTGATTTGAGCGAAGTGATTTTCTCGAAGCGAGATCAATAGCGTAATGCCGGAAGCAGCAGCTCGGAACAGCAGCAGCAGCAGCCATCGGAGGCAGCTCGGAACAGCAGCAGCAACAGCCATCGGAATCAGCTCGAGTCGCGACCTGCAATGTTCTTCATAATTCATCCCTTCATTACTGAGTGAAATTCTGAACTTTGGCAAAGCTCTTCAACTTTGTATGCCTTCTCAAGACTTGTGAGGTATGTGATGCGACTTTCACATAATCTGTTAGCTTAGTTCCTTGATTTGCAGGTGGGCTGCAGATATTTTAGTCTAGTAAACAGCCCCAAATCCTGTGTGATAACTGACATGGGTCCGAGATTATTGCTGCCCTCTCAAGTTTTCGCAAGCACACCCGGCAGCTCATTCATTCTTCTAAATTACATGAGTTATGTCATTGTATGACGTATAGTGTCCACAAGTCGACCTGCATTGCCTCGAAGGCCACTTCCGTTTCACAGTAAAAGACGCTCGAAGCTGCGTCTTGCACCGCTCTGATACTGTGCTTCTTTCTTCCCGAAGGTGTTCCCAAATCTGTCTTGTCTAATTTTTGCAGAAAAATGACCGGGGACACCAGCGACATTCCCTTCCCCGCGGTGCGTGAATATAACATATTTCTTTATTCAACTTGGAATACTTGTTGCAACACGTTTTTGTTTTATTCACCCGCACTGTGCCATTGCACGCCATACATACCCGGAACGGCTCTCACCTCGAACGTCGACTGAGACGCGTGACCCGCGTGCCATTCTGGACAATATGCTCACTCTTTTAGTCCACATTAAGGTGACCGTCGCCAAGCCTGACCGCATGTTAGGCCTACTTACAAGAAGCAGCTGCCCCGAGCGCCAAGCAGTGATCGTCTGAACCACAGATCCATGGCGCGCGCCTACAGCACACACGTGAGATCTGTGCTGGAATATGGCTACGCAATATGGGCAGGAGCAGCTGCAACCAACTTCAAACAACTGTAGCTCATCCAGCAGAACTTGTAAGTGTGGCCGGCTGGTCACACATTCCAGAATGGACTGTGAGAGTCTTTTATCTGCTTTAAGCATGCAGTCGATCATGTATCAGTTTGCTAAGTGTGATCTCATGTTTTTTCACAATCTTTTCCGGTACAGACTGGATGTCCCTGGGCCATGACCGCCTTTGGACTCAACATTAAGCACCATTACATCAGCACCAGATAGCACCATTCATGCTCGGTCACTTTGGGCGGTGCCACGTGCCAGTGTTAATGCTGTCCAGAGAAGTGAGAATAAACAAATCACCATACGTTTTGGTCTAAAACTGAGACGGCTAAAGAGCAATCACATAGTCTCAGGTGAAACGAAACGTTTTGCGGCATTAGTGAACTACACGTGTTAGTTCACGTCCCTATTGTACACCGACTTGTGTTTTACGACGGGTTGAGGCCATCTCCCTTGCGAAGGGAGTGAGCAGACTAGGGGCACTTCCATGACTAATTTTTTATCAGCTGAGCTAGGGCTGCGAAGGAAAAGCCAAATGGTGGTCTGTGTCCACGAAATCTGACGGCGTCCAGTTCAAACCGACAATTCGCCATCAGTCTGAATCCATCAGCTCAACCAGCGGACATCCAGGCCAGACGAAACTTTATGACTTAGGAACAAAAAACAGAAAGATAACCAGATAATAAAGATGCCTACATTTTTAGAATGATTAGCATTTTCATCTCCTGAATACTAAGGTGCAAATACACAGACTGGGATAGACATAAAATCGAGCAGGATATCACAAACCTTTCATCTCATGCAGCTTCGAAGTCTTTTGCCCTTCCCGGGATGATATGCGTGATTAATATTCGTCATGCTATGCCCAAATTATCTATGCATCACCATTAAAGATAATGTGTGCAGTCAAGTTAGGATTGTTTTCTGTGCACGTAGGATGGTAGTGAATTTCGATTTACAAATTCTGGTGTCATTGGTTTCTATCAATTCGCCTCCACTGACGAGGTATTGCCACAACCCCAAATTTGCTTTGCTTTGTATGGAATCACGAAGTTACCCCCCAAACATTATTCACTACCAAACATATCGACATCATTGAGAAGGTATCATTAGCCTTAGCCAATGGATTTTCGGGGATGTCCATTGTCAGCGTTAAGGGCAGCTTGCGAACACAGCGTTGGCGGCGGCCCTTATGCCGTTTTTTTTTTTGTTGTTGTTTACATTCAGCTGAGGGCTGCGGATGTACGGTTTTAACGTATGGCAAGGATTGTTAGTTGATGCGCACCGCGATTAATTCATGTTGGCCTACTATATGCTGAGATGAGGAACAAATATTCTGTTATATCAATCGGCTGCACCAGGCTCTGGGAAAAGGTGACTGTTCTACGCTATTTTGGCAGCGGCTTAAACCGTTGGGCGGCAAATCTCTGCGCATGCCCTCAGCCTTGAAAACATGAAAAGTAGCTTCCTGATGCGGTGAAGCGTTGCGTAAATTCGACCACTGATTGCATTGACTGCAGGACCAGGCAGTCAGCTTAGGCGTGCGTATAGCGGGGTGACTTGTTAACCACCTACCCCAGCCTTACGAAATGACATACGCAGCTGGTACTACATACTGCTTGTTTTACTGAGAGCTTTACTTTGCTTTACTGGGATTGTGAGCTGTAGATTTTCAGCCATACAGAAGCCTGGTTAGATGGGTGGCGCTTGCACCTTTATCATGACCAACAAATGAATGCAAATGTTGGCTCCCCTCAGAACCTTGTTTTTAATCTACCAGTTTTTCATTACCAGAATGCCATTTAGCCTCAGCAGCTGAATGCGTCGCACAACCCCCCCCCCCCCCCCCGCCCCCAGTGTCAGCATTAATTTTGGACAGCAGGTAGTTTTTGAACATGAAACGGAGCTTCCTGATGTGGTGAAATATTGCCTAATTTCACCACTGGTAAATATCTTTGCATGTTACATTTCATTGTGCTTTCCAGATATCGGCGCAGAGTACCCAATAATGAAGATCGTAATATCTCACCTCCAAATTATAATACTTAGGATTTAACAAAACCTCTGGTGCAAGTACGGTCAAGGCTGGGTATAGGCACCAATGCATCCACGCAGCCCTCTTGTGTTGGCTTCTCCAAGCCCTATTGGGTGCTTATCATTGATTGCTGCAGCAGACAGCTGAACGAGGCATTCATACGAGGCACAAGGCCATGTTTACCTCACCTTACCTTTATATATAAGTTTAGTATGCTCTGTCAGGTTAGGGTGGAAATATCACGTACTCGACACATTTTGTGTTCCGGTAAGGCCATGCATGATATAAATTAGGTAGCTGGTTAAGAAACTTTATTATTATCATCCCTCATTCCTGTGAGGTGCATAGCAAGCATGGTGTGTAGACGGAAGTGCCACCCAGCATCCTGTGCAAATGCCCGTGTATAATCATTTTAAAAATGGAAAAATGTCCGTCTGTGCATAACATTCCTTAAGGTGGAAGCAAATTTCCTTTTCAACTTGGGACAATGTCCATCCATTTGGTTCCTCCATCTTCATCCATTTGTTCATGTTCATTTTGTTGACACCTAAATATTGTTGCCAGCCACAACTCAAATTTGGGTAGGAGATGGACAACCCAGCACCTTCCAGACGCTCACGTCTCTGATTAGGTGTACTGCGCTAGGTTCAATGTAGCTTGTCATCACCAGATGATAAGCTACATTGTTTTTTATTTGTATTGTAGATATCACTTTGTAGTGCGTGGTGCGGTTTTCCAGATGACTCCTTATGGGTGTATGGGTGTATTGCAACTTTATACAAAATTCACCATAAGAGAACAGTTGAGAAAGCATTGCTGTGTGTTTCAGTCTGGAAAGCCTCAAGTTAATTCCTGTATCACCATTATCCCTGTCTTTCCCAGTGTAAATGTCTTCGTGTGTGTCTTTGTAAATGTAAATGTAAGTGTCTTTCCCAGTGTCGCGAGGCACCAAGAGGG